GACTGGAGGGTAGCTAAAGTAGTGCCAGTTTTTAAAAAGATTCTAGAGCTAATCCTGTAAGTTACAGACCAGTAAACCTAATTCCGTACCAGCCAAATTGATTGAAATGATAGTAAAGAAAACAATTATCAGACACAATAGGGTATGTCTAGACTGAAAGGCTTTTTCCAGATACCGGAGGTATCCCGAAATAGCTACCCTGCACTCAAGGAACACGTCCACTATTTTAAAATAATTTTTGAAATAACGGACGGGCTATTTCGGCATCCCTGTAAATCACATTCCATGAGGAATAAGCAATGTCTCGAAATAGTGCTTTATTTCAAAATTTGGCACTGTGTAGATGTGCCAAATTTTGAAATTGCAAATTGTGTATCTTACTTCGATTTTATTTAGAAATAGGCTAAGTGCAAATTGCATATCTTATTTCAGTTTTAGAGTGCAGCTTAGATGTATCCATAGATGAACATGTGTTTTTTCCAAAGGAAAATCATGCTTCATCAATTTAGTAGAATTATTTGAGTGGTTCAACAAGCATGTGGACAAGGAGGATTCAATGGATAGGATATACTCAGACTTTCGGAGAGTGTGACAAGTCCCTCAACAATGGCCTTAAGCAAACAAACCAAGTCCTTGTGGATCAGTACTTGGTTAAAATATAGGAAACAAAGGGCATGAATAAATTATCAGTTTTCACAATGGTGACAGGTAAATAGTGGGTTCCCCAAGGATCTGTACTTGGACATGTGCTTTTCAACATAGTCATAAATTATGTGGAAAAAGGGTAAACAATGAGGTGGCAAAATTTGCAGACCACACAAAATTGCTCAAGATAGTTAAGTCCAAGGCTGTCAGTGAAGAATTACAAAAGGATCTCACATTGGGTGATTGGTCTACAAAATGAAAGATGAAATTCTGAGTTGGTAAATACAAAGAAGTACACATTGGAAATGTAATCCCAACTATACATGAAAAAATGATGTCTAAATTTAGCTGTTACCACTCAAGAAAGAGATCTTGGAGTCATCATGGATGATTTCCTTGAAAACATCCACTCAATGTACAGCCAAAAAAGCTAACAATATTAGGAACCATTGCAAAAGGGATAGAAGATAAAACAGAAAATATCATGATGTCACTATATATGTGCACGGTGCGCACGCACCTTGAATGCTATATGCAGTTATGGTCACTCCAACTGAAAAAAGAGAATTGGAAAAGGCACAGAGAAGTACAATGACAATGATTAGGAACAGGAACAGGTTTCATACAAGAAAGATTAAAAGGGACAGCACTGTTCAGCTTAGAAAAGAGGTGACTGGAAGAGAATATGATAGAATTCAATAAAATCATGAATGATGTGGAAAAAGTGACTAGGAAAGTATTATTTGCCCCTTCACCTAACACAAGAATCAGAAAAAACTTAAAAAACAACAAATAGTCTAGTAGCACCTTAAAGACTAACAGAACATGTAGACAGTATGAGCTTTCATGGGCAAAATCCACTTCTTCAGATGACCGGAGTATAATATGTCCAGAAAAAGAGACAGTAAGTAGATAGTTCAGATAGTTACAGGAGGCTGTTAAGAAACATTAGCATCTTCATTGTTTGGTTGATTGGTTAAGTCATTAAAAGGTTGAAGATAGTGTGGGAGCCATCCTATAACCTGGTTCAGACGACTAGCATAAGAATTAAACTTGTGAATGAAGTTAAGTTCCAATCCTTCTCTGTGTATTTGTCCTGTGAAATTGGTCAGAGCCAAAACGGCAACTTGGAGATCTGTCAATGAGTGTCCAGGAAGATAAAAGTGTTCTCCAATATCAGGATTTACCCAGTGAATGAACAGGCAGCAGGCTTAAAACAAACTTAAGGAAATGCTTCTTCACACAATGTACAGTCAGCCCGTGGAACTCAATGCCATGGGATGTTGTCAAAGCAAAAAGTGTAACTGGGGTTTAAAAAAGAATTTGATAAATTGAAGATGGTTAGGTGAATACTCATGTTCTGGGTGTTTCAACAAATGTCAAGAAAATAATTATTTTTAAGCTCCGAGAGCACAAATGGAACATTAGGAAAATAAAAGGAAAGCCTGGGTGAGGAAAAACTCCATTGACTTCTCTAAAGCCAGAATAATATTACCTAGATTTTATATACCTAACTTTTTATTCATAGGTCTTAGAGTTGGGGAAGCTGAACACACAGAAACGTGATTTGCTTAGGGTCAGTCAGTAGAACACTTGAGACTAGAATCCAAGTGTACTGAGTCCTAGTCCAGTGCACTAGCCACTAGGCAACACTACTTCTCTTGAAGTTTTTCACCCCTTCACAATTGGAGACCTGGAGAAAGAAAATTAACCCTAAGTAGGCAGTAGTCAGGATCATATTTGGATAGTGAATCAGGTTAATGAGGCCCCAAGTTAGTTCCAGTGCACACTTTGAAGAAGCTCTAAGAAGTGCTATATTATGACAACTTCTTCATTTGGGGAGAGGGGACAGGAAATTCCTGTTAAGCTGCTTGGCATACTCAGATCTCCGGTAGAGTAGTACAATTCAAGTTTATTATGTACTTAGAATTAGAGCTGGGTGAGAAACAGTTTTTCCATCCCATGAGAATTTTTGAGACAGTGTTATGAACCACTCCCCAAAAATTCTGATCAGGTCAGTAGAAACAGCTCATTTAGATATTTTGGCCACCGTCCTGTGTACTTAGAATTAGAGCTGGGTGAGAAACAGTTTTTCCATCCCATGAGAATTTTTGAGACAGTGTTATGAACCACTCCCCAAAAATTCTGATCAGGTCAGTAGAAACAGCTCATTTAGATATTTTTAAAATATTTAATGTTCATTTAAATTTTTTTATTTTTGTTACATTTTTACTCAACATTCACTTATATTTTGAAACCAAAATTTATTTGACTAAGAAATGAAACTTTGTGATTTAGAAGATGCCTTAAACAGCATTTCAACAACTTAGAAATTTTCTCAAACTATTTTTCAGTTTAATTGATCCCTTTTCGGCAAAGGGTTTCACTTTTGTCAAATTGGCATTTGCTGACCAAACAAGGGTTGTCAAAAATGTATGATTAGCTGTTTAGCATTTCCATTTTATAATGGTAGAAGACAGGTCATGCCTGATATTGACAATGACGCTTATCTGTTCTGGCTAAAGTATGTTGTGTGCTGATTCTGAAGACCTATCCAGTACCAAAAATGCCTTCTCAAGCAGTTCTGCCACAGTCTTTTAAAAATGTCATTGTTTCTGCCATCTATTTTAATTAATCTTTAAGAAATGTTTATACACAGTTCATACACAGCTTTAATTCTCCATTGAGGACTATATAAATACATACACTTCCTGATCTGTTCCATACTTCCAAATGTCATCTCTCTGACTCTGTTGACCTCAAGTTCCCACCAACAAATTAAAGGCTCAATCAACTTGGATTTTTAAGTTCATCTGTATTGACAACCATATTTAGTATTGTTGGTCTTGTTACTTGTTGTATATACATTTTTTGCTGACATTGCATTGAGATAATGTAAGTTTCAAGAACTATGCAGAGCCTTACTGCTTTTCTGTAGTATCTTGCAATCTGCATGAATTTAGTATCTTTAAGATGATACTGTAGAAATGGATAATTGAATGAAAGATAATATTCATATTAGAGAGGTATACAAAGAAAATAACTAATTTTCACGGGTTATTAAAACCATATCAAAGCTTAATTTATATGTTGATGAATTAAGTTGCTATGAAGCCAATACTAAAATTACATTTTAGTACCTTGAACTTTCTTTTAAAAAACGTTATGGATTTTGCTGGCTCTTTATAGGCATATAACAAAAGTAAGGTTCTTTTTGCCTCTACCTCATGAGAATTTGGAAATTGTGCTTCTGCCTTCTCAGAATTTTAAGTCACATGGCGTCCGGGGGTCTCAGTGTTAGACAGGGATGCGAATAAAAGGCATATTGCATTATTTTGATGTTATGCTCAGGAACTCCTGAAATGGGAGAGGGAAGAAAGACCACTTCTCCTTTTTCAGGAAGTGTAGTCTGGAAGAATATAGCATTTTCCTCATACTTGCCCTCTGTTTTATCCCACGGTTTGCCTAGCAAGGTTGGGGTGTGACTCTTCCGAACAATAACCTGCTGATATTAACTCTTGCACACTAATAGTTCCTCAAAGAGGTTTGAGCTAGTATTTCAAAATATTGTGGCTCAAAGAACACTAAGGAACTGTTTCTCCATGACAGCAGGGTCCACATAGATCATTAGTATGCAGCAAGCTAGTATGGGGTAGATTCTTGTTCCAGTTTGCCACAAACTAAATATTTGGGTAGGCAATCTGTCAGTGAAGTTTGTATGAGTTCTGCATGAGCTCTCCATTCTGCTTCATTGCCATGATTAATTTTACTTTATAATGCTACCCAGTTTATTGTGAGATAGTAAATCATTAAATTACACCTTTTGGGATTACCTAGATTTAATAATTTGCATTAATGTGTTGGAGACACTAATCCCAATATCCTTTCTGGCACTTTAGAAGGAAGTGCCTTTTGATAGACCAAGGCTATGTGCAAGGAATACATGTGCTTTTCTGAAAACATTTTTGGAAAAGGCGTGTTTTTTTGGCATCCCGGTAAACCTCGTTCTATGAGGAAGAAAGGATGTTCCAATAGAGGGTTTTTTCCCGACATTTGGCCCCATGTAGACAGGCCAAAAGTTGGAAAAGCCTCTAGAAGAAAAGCGAAAAAAGATACTCAAATTGCAACTTTTCTTTATAGGGTAAATATAGCCCAAGATTGTAAATAACTTCCTGAAGTTAATGTGTTCACTGGGTCTGACTGTACAAGATAAGAATAATTGAATTCAAAAAATGAATAGAGCTGTGATGAGCAAGATAAATGTTTAATTGTGATTACTTGTTTGAAATACTTGCAATAATATAAATGGCAAAGTAGCAAACTCCTTATGAGTCCACCTTTATATATTTTAATAGTAAGACGGACAAGTTAGGCCCACCACTACGAACTGGAAGAGATGTACAAAGGTTGTATGACAGTGATACAAAAACAGACAGTACCATCAAAAGACCAAATGAGTTGTTGCCCATTAACAAGTAAGTATTGCAAATCAGTGTGCTTTATCTCTTTTTCAGGTATGTTCCCCCAAAAGAGTTGGAATATTGAAAGCATTTTGTGACTTTTGAAATATGCAAAACTTTCCTCATAAAGTTATCTGATAACATTGTAACTTACTAGCTTCTCCCCTTCTAAGTGTCTCTGTGAATAATAGACCAAAACCGGGTGTCTTGTGAGAAGGAGGAAATAAATAAGTAACTCTGTATAGGTTTGGTGTATATAACTCTCATATTGGATAAAATGTTTTATAGTCGGACAGAAAACACAGTATAGTGCTTGCACCAGAAGACCTTTTCCACCATTTCTTCCTTTGGCTGCAGCTTATTACATTTACTCTTATTTCAACTATCCCCATGTTGACGGGGTGTATGTCACCTCAGAAAGGGATACATACGGAATGTTTCTAGACAACAAATGACTGCTTATTGGAGCACCTTTTCTTAGAACTCATAGAGTGAGAGTCCTAGGTAGAGCATAGAATCTCCAAAGGATGAATGTAGCTTTCAGAAGTTATTGAAAGTCATATATACCATTGCTTCAACTAGGAATGTAAAATTTCGATTAACTGACTAATCAAATAGTCGATGCAATTTGCAGTCGATAGGGTGCCTCCACCTTTGAAGCATAGTATCAGCCCTAGGTCTGTTGCTACACTTCAAAGGAAAGTGCTGCAGAGAGCACAGGGCCAGTGGTGCTGCACGCTGCGTGAAACCTGGGGTCTAGCCCCTGGCTCCACACAGTGCCACCGCTTTGAAGCACCCCCTCTTCTCCCCTCTCCCTGCTGCCTCTGGGAGGGGAGCGACTAGTTGACTAGTTCACATCCCTAGCTTCAACATGGTATATAAAATATTTTTCGGTATGTTGAAACAGAAAAAATATACCACTTCAAGGTAACTGGACAAATGCTGATTTTTAAATGGCAAATACTTTTTATGTAATATGTTAAGGTAAATTGCTAAGAAAGAGTTAGTTACAAATAGTGACACATTGCAAAAATATACAAGAAATGAATATGACTTATTGAGGGAATATTTTGAAATAATAAAAGCAATTTTCTGACAATAATTGTTCTCAAAGATGCTGTTTTAATTTTTAATATTTAATTTTTTAAAAATGTAAGACTACTTAGACAAAAGAATTAATGGTTGAGTGGCTAAAGTTTGATATCAAAAGAAAAAGAACACTGGTCCTTTTTCCTGAAGTGCGTAGCATTTCTATCTTCTGTTGGATTCGGATGGATGTAGGAGTGCACAGCACCTCTGGAAACCAAGACACTTTAAAAAAATTATGTAGCTGTCTAACATTAAATAGGCCAGTTTGGAAAAATCTGGTGCTAATAATTAGAACAGCAAACATGCTTGAATGACCACCATGCCTTATATCAACAAAGAGGATGTGACCTAGAAGAGAATTACTGACATGGAGAGTATGAACATTTTTGGAGTTCTACTGATGACTAATTTTTGAACCACACATGTACCCTTATAGAATCATCGAAACTAGGACTGGAAGGGACCTCGAGAGGTCATTGAGTCCAGTCCCCTCCCCTCATGGCAGGACCCAGTACTGTCTAGATCATCCTTGATGGACATTTATCTAACCTACTCTTAAATATCTCCAGAGATGGAGATTCCACAACCATCCACAACTTATTCCAGTGTTTGACCACCCTGACAGTTAGGAACTTTTTCCTAATGTCCAACCTAAACCTCCCTTGCTGCAGTTTAAACCCATTGCTTCTTGTTCTGTACTCAGAGGCCAGGAAGAACAATTTTTCTCCCTCCCCCTTATGATACCCTTTTAGATACCTGAAAACCGCTATCATGTCCCCTCTCAATCGTCTCTTTTCCAAACTAAACAAGTCCAATTCTTTCAGTCTTCCTCTCTAGACCTTTGATCATTCTTGTTGCTCTTCTCTGGACCTTCTCCAGTTTCTCCACATCTTTCTTGAAATGTGGTGCCCAGAACTGGAAGCAATACTCCAACTGAAGCCTAATCAGAGTAGAGCGGAAGAATGACTTCTTGTGTCTAGCTTACAGCACACCCTTGTAGTTATAATGATCAACTTTTCTTACTGGAGAGCTTCTTTTGTGATCTTAGTATCTAGACAAACTCTACCAGTATACTTGTTTTTATTGTCCTAATATGAATAGTCCAACCATATGCAGAAATGTGTCTGTGTCCACTTAAGCTACCCAAACTAATAATGTAATTTGAAGAATTTGTGGTGGAGAAAGTGGACTCTATAAATTCTACTCTTAGCATGCTAGCTGTAGTCAAGGTCGTCTAATCATTTATAATCCCCCTGTTTTCAGTTGCTTAAAACTTTGCCAAAGTTTATCCATTTGGGCTGAAATGTTCCATTGTAGTTTTCTACCTCAGGCTGCATTTCTTGTTCAATTTCAGTCAAAATTGTTCTTCTACTTCAGTGAATGAGATTAGAGAAAATTACATTTTACCCTTTAAAAATAATTGGCAAACTTTTATTAGAAAAACTCCACTCCCTCCATGATTTGGAAAAGAAACTGAAAATTTGATGGGGGGGGGGAGCTTTGTGACAGTGAAGTGCTTTTGAACATCCCTGTAAAAAAAAAAAAATCTGCCCAAGTTACAAGCTTTTGACAAAAATCAGTTTGCAGATGCTTGTGTAAAAGCAAAAATCTGATTCCACTTGGATTGGGAGTTGTGAGGTGGAGGGCAGAATAGAACTGGTTGGAAGGGAGGCTGAGACTGGGCGCTGTGTGTAGGAAGACTGGAGCTGGTTGAGGTTGAGTAAGGAGAATTAGAGCTTGGAGGGGAGAGGAGTACTGGTACTAGCTGAGCAAGATCACTGGGAGCCATTGAGGAAAATATCTGGGACTCAGGAGGTGATTGAGGTGGGGTGGACGGTAACATTGAGATTGGATGATGCACTGGGTAGAAAAGTGGGTCTGGCCGGGCAAGAAGAAGAAATAGTTCTGGGGGAATTGGGAAAGAAGAGACAAAACTGACAAGGAGCTTGATTGTGGGGAGGGAAAACTTAGAACTGGCTGGATAAAAACAGTTGGAAAAATAGCCAGGGAGTGGGTAGCCAGGGAGTCATTAATCATGTGATCAAATATTTTTTTTCCCACAGGACTCTAAACTCAAGTTCACAGGACATATCTGCTCTGTGGATTAATCAGGGTTGCAGAAAGTTAGTTCAAGGACGTTGTGGTCTGTAGAATGCTGAGGAAGTGGAAGATGCATACTGTTTGTAGTACTGGGGCAGGCCCCAAACTAAAGGCCTACCCCCTCAGCGAAAGTGGAGAACTGCTAGACTCAGACTTCAGCTGATTTTTGGGGACAGCAGATGAAAGAAACAGGATTTGGAGTGAGGTCAAAGATTAAATGAGAGAGCCGGCCTCTGGGGGGGAAGACCGAGAGAACCCTGGGCAATGCCCTCTGCTCCTCAGAGACTTTCAGATGAAGGTGCATAGTGAATGAGACAAGGGCTAGCAGGATGAGAAAGGGGGATCATATCATTGAGAAAGCTGAATGTAGCTGGAGATCAAGGATTGCATCTTTGCATCTGCCACAGAGTTCCCATATCATCCTTGGCAAGTAACTTAAGCCAGAATTGTGTGTGAGTTTTCTGGGTGCCTGACTTCTTCACAAACTGGGTCTTGATTTAAAAAAGTGCTGAGCAGTCATTGGTGCAAGTGAAGTCCATTGGTACTGTGCTTTGAACAGTCAGTTCCTAGATGTTTCAAATTGGGCATCCAAAATTAGGGGATATTGTTTATCTTCATGCCTATGTGCATCAGTTCCCTATGAGTAAATGGGGCTAATAATTCCTTGTCATCCTAGAGGTGTGTAATGGAAATATATTCTTTAATGTTTGTGAAGCACTCATACTATAGTGATGAGTTCTGTAGACAAGCCCATGAAGAAATTAATAATTCTGTATTCAGAGCTGGATTTGAATAGTGTGCAATAGTGAGGCCTATGGTCACATATTGAATGATAAATAGTTGTTCATAAATTTATTACTCATGCACTGCATCTGGCAGAGATCCTGTGGAAAAACAAATATGTGATAATGTAATTAAAAACTGTATAATACTGCATAGGCACAAGGAGGCTAAATTAAGGTTGCCCAGGCAAACTATTCTGGCATTTCCAAAATATTGAAAGCTTGACTTTGCAACCTTAATAGTGTACTTGGAGCTAACTTTTTGTCTGTAATTGTGGTTGGCTTTTTTTATTAAACAATGCTTTTATAAAGTAATCCTTACAATGCTGTTGGTAAGTAGGTAGTAAACAGTGCTTACAGACAGTAGTACTAAACAAAGTTTGCAATCAGCTGATGTCACAATTCAATCTGTGAGCTGGGGCTTTGGGCCAAATTTCTCCCTGGCCTCAGTGGGTGGTTATCAGACCAATTCCCTAACTTTAGCATTTTCACAGTAGTGTTCAGCGCAGTGGGTCCAAATCACAGAGTTCAGGAATCTTAATCTGCCCTTGGTTATTACTGATGAAGGTACCTTTTAAAATAAAAGCTTATGCTATGCTCTTGATACCAGGGCTGCTCAGGGAGAACACCCTAGGTAAACCTGCTCAGGGATAGCATGGCTTGTCAGTGCTCTAATGTTCCTCTGCTTCTTCAAAGGGAGCAACTGTCTGGAGATAAGACTGGGACAGGGCAATCCTTTAACTGGGTATCTTCATCCAACTTCCCGTTTTCTGTGGGAATTCTTAAGAGAGTTTCTGCCTCTATGTTGTTGCATTATTAAACTGAGTCATTTGACAAACCATAAAAGATGAGGTCTGCTTCCCTGTTGGGTAAAAGTTATCCCCTTGTCACCTTGCTTAAGAGGAAGAGGCTGGACCAAGAGGGTATCATCGTCCTTCACAATCTGCCTAAAAACTCTGCCATCCTTTCAAAGCCACCAGACAGTTGCTTTTGGTTCTTCTAGAAAGCCCTAAGAGAACCATAAAATCACTTTTAGTCTGGCAGTTAGTGTGATGCAGAATGAAAAGTTGGGAGCAAGAGTGAAATACTTTACCACCATTAGCTAAAGGGGTTGTAGTATTATCATAGCTGATTGAGGTCCTGGCACTTGATAGTCCTCAAACCTTGAAAATCTTTCTGTAGCTCTTCACTCCCTCTTTGGTGGGTTAATGAGGTTCTGCTGTTCTTACAAAATATTGGCAATGTTGTACCTGGACAGTTTATTGAAACTTTTTACTTCATTGAATATCTACTCTCTTCCAGAGGCAGCACCATGAAAACTCGAATATCAACTCCTCCAAATATGGCAAAAAACACAGCCACAGGTGCTTTAGTAAACAAAAGGAAAATCTATAATGCAGACAGCTACTCAAGCAGGTAGTTTTTAACTCTGTAATCTTGTAAGTAAATAGACATTTTAGGGGAATATCTCTGTACAAGAAATGATGGGAAGGGTGATGCACAAACTGTTATGGGAACCTCTTAATTCAATATTCTTAGTATGCTTTGTAAATTTAGCATATTTGTGTTATAGCTTAGTGTAAAAGTAAAACTTCACCTATCCAAGTGTGTAAGGTTCAGCATTTCTTGTGAAAAGGTTATGAGAGAATAGGATGATTCTTTCAAACTAAATGTAAGGTTTATTTAAATCAATTATTGATAACTGAAGAAGAGAAAATATGGAGTTTGTAGTTCTAATTCCACACGATCTGAGATGTTTTAGTGGTTGTGATTTTCTGAGGTTCTCAACGCCATATATTTCCTTAGATGTTAACTGGAGTTGTGCGTGCTTGGAGCCTCTGAAAATTAGGCAGGATATGTGTCTTTAAAAAATCACAGTGCTATTTCTTTTGCTGTATACCTGCATTCTTTTAAAGATATATTTAGCATTACTTTTCAACAAAATCTTTGGGGGATCAGTGATAGAATTTCTAGTTAGAATAACTAATGACACAAATGTGTTTTTCCTGCTTCTAAGATTCTGGTGTTTTCTTTAATTTTTTAGTTTTACTAAAAATGTTTTACTTTTAATTTCAAAGTTGGTAGCATGTTGGAAAGGGTGTACAAAATGTTATTTCAAGTAGTCTGGCTGATTGTCCCCGTCATACCAAAATTAGTCACTTCTTAAAAAAATAGTAATTCTTTGCAAAGGGTTAGAATGGATACTTATTCCAGGCTACACTGTATTAAATTATACTATGAACATTTGTTATCTGATTTTTCAGGTCTGATGGTAAAATTGGGTATGATAGTGGAGACTATTCATCCTCAGTTAATGGAGGAAGTACAAAAAGCAGTGATGAAAATTCACCTGTACAGTTATCAAAATTTTGCCATGAATGTGGAACCAGGTACCCTGTGGAATGGGCAAAATTCTGCTGTGAATGTGGAATTCGAAGAATGGTTGTTTGAATGCATTCTTAAAAGCTAACAAAACAAAAAGGAAGAAATGTAGCGCTTCGGTTGCCTATCACAGCATGAAATGCTAGAGCACTACTTCCAGTTATAGTTCGTGCTGCAAATACGCTGAAATACCATGTTTTAGTAACTGAGTGCAATCCCTTTGGTTACATAATTATTTATATATAAATATATATACTGTATATAAAAGTAACAGGTATCTAAAACTGTGCCATTCAAGGACACTCTAATCTCCGGAAAATATTTTAAGCTGAAATAGACATGTGTTTGGTAATTTAGCAAATAGAAATGGATCACTTTGTATAATACTAGGATGTAAAATATTCTAGCTATGAAACACTTGGGCTAAAAAAAATGCTTCTGAGAAGGAATCACATATACTTACTGGACACTTACTTAGAAACTGTATTTTAAGGAAGTATGAAAACTGCACGAGCAGCTCTTAACAACTTTCTAATTAAAATTTTAAAAGATTGTCTTTGGTTAAAGAGATTAAATATACTATTCTAAAGAGATTCCATGGCTATTTACTGGGTGTGCTTCTAAAAGATTTGTTAAAGCAAATGAACTAAAGTGCTATGTGAACATATTGTTCACTTATGCAAAGAAAAATTGGATTTCTGTATATCTCCCAACATCACCTTTTCAGATAAGAACCAGTGAAGTTTTACATATCGAAGCTAGCAATATTGAACCAGGCATTTAAAAAAAAAAAAAAAACATGTTTTTGATAATATCATACTTTCCTTTCCATAATTGTCCTTGAGTCTTATCCAACAGCTCCACTCCCAAAGATGTCTACAAGTTCCTACTCCCTCCACTTCTTTTATAAAAGGAAAGATGAAATAATTTACTCCATAAATAAGCTTTTATTAGATATGTGTTGAGATTTTCATAAATGTTTTCTAATAGAACTTGTGGATAGCTTTATAGGATGATTATCATAGAGGATGAAAATAAATTGTACATTAATTTTTAAAACAGCCCTTATAATGTATGTACCTGATATTGTAGGTTTTGATAGAAGTCATCACATCCTTTATTCTTATCCCTGTACAATAGGCACAGCCATGTATATATTGTGGCACAATTATACTTCATGGGATAATATGTGAATATTGAATTATTTTGTCTACAGTTACTGCATTCTCCTGGGCTGTGTACTTCAGCCACTGAAGTTAATAGCAGAACTCTCATTGACTTCACATTGACTTAACTTTAAAATTTGTAACATGGCAAATAGGGCATGTTTGAAGGGCAGTTTAAATAACCAGGCTGAGTTTCTTAATCTGTGTCTAAATTTAAATGTTTTTGTTATGTGACATTTGTTTAAAGTATTTGTTTTTCCCTGGGAAATCAAACATGAAAGAATCTAATTTTGCCTTTCCCAAATTACTTGTGCTATATCTAGCCCAAAATAGTTACTTTTAATTCATTGCTGCCACTATTATAGCATGAGTATGATTTATGTTCCGGTGGTATATTGAAGCTTTCTGCCACATATGGTATAACACTGCTGTATTTTCAATTCATGTTCTTCAGAGGTACTAGTCATATTTTGGAGACTACAGATAATGGGGCCAACAACAAATGAAATGTTTGATATTCATTATGTACATACTCATCTCTGATTTTTGTGGATCTCTTTAGGGACTTAATTAATTCTGTCATTTTGTGGGCCCAGACTATTATTGATATTCTGTGATGATCAGTTCAGTGGTACTGAATTGTTATGTAATTTTTCTGAGAAATTAAGTGCTTCTAGGAATTGCCCCTTTATATGGTGTATTGACATTTTATGCTAATTCTAAAATAAAGCCACTGAGCTGCCCGTGTTTAGTGTGTAAGAGTGAATAACTGTTACATGTGGTGATGTTAAATAGGTAGACTTGATGGATTTTAACAAAATTTGGATGCTAAAAATAAAGATGTATAGCATTTTACTTTTGGCAGTTTGATATATACACATGGGAATTACAGTTCTGCATTCCTTGTGGGGACAAACCCCAATGGAAAATCTTCCCTAGAATCATATTAATGTCTGTTGTCCTTTTGTGAGCCGTCTACTCTCGTGTGAATTTCACCTCACTGAAGTTGTTGGCAGTGCCCAGAGGATATAAGAATGGGACAAATATGGATTCATCCAAGAGAGACTGAAGGTTCTGGAGACCCACTATCTGATCTCTTTAGTTTCTGTTCTTGTATTTGTTGGCAAATAAAACGTTATTTTAAAAAATAAACAAATGATAGCAGCCCATAACTCGTGAGCCAACTGCTAATTACAACGTGTGCCTATAGTATAAAGGGAAAGTTTAGCAAGGAAACAGATTAGTTTCATGATTCTGAGGATTTTATTGTGAATAATGGGAGAAGTGAAGGAACTATCTACAAAATTACAAAAAACCTTTAAAGTCTGTCCTTTTGAAACCATACATTCTTTTCCAATTCAATGCATACAATATATGGATTTATGGTAACTGCTTTTTGAGCTGTTGCAAAATGCAGTGCTTGTAAGTCAGGTTTCAGAAAATTCTCGGGAAGTTAAGCACCATTTTTTCCTTTTAATTGATATTTGTGTGTATTCTAAATTTAATTTAGCATTACAGCTCAGTAAATTTGAACCTAGATAACTATTGACAAAATGTAACACTTCCTAACATGCATGTTTGAATAAAGACATTGAAAAAGATATTAATAAAGACATGGAAAACTCTAGCATAAGATTTGGTTATCCAGTTTGTTGCTGCATACTGAGGCTATAGTCCATGTGTTTATATTTATCAAAATTGTTTTATTAGGTAATATTACAGATTTTTGAAGTATCTATTGCTATGTAGAAAGGACTGCATTGCACACTGTAGCAGCACAGACTGCTGCCTTTCCAACCAAATGATTGTTAGCAAACAAAAATGCAATAGTTTTCATAATACTCATTAAAGAAGCTGTTTAAACAGAATATGAAACATGTAACAAGGAATGTGGTTAAATACAATATAAAAAGCAAGAAATAAGCCTGGTGGTTGAAGAGAGATTAGTGAAGGTCTTGGAGGCTTAGTGTATATCTCTCCAAATATATGTGTATGCATATGTCCTGCTTGAACTCAAAAAAGTCATTATCCAAAATTTAATGTAGCTAAGTTAATAATTTTTAATTAAAATGGAGAGAGGACTAGAGGAGGATTATGCACCCTAAAACTGCTGAATAACAATATGCACAGGCTGTATATTTAAAACATCTCCAAATAATTCTGTTGTAACTCCATGGGTACATGTATTACTTTCGCCTTTATAACTTTGATGACTTTTACTGTCTACCATATATATTGTGCTCTTGTAAAGGTTCTCTCATTCTGTAGGAGGGCATCAGTGGAAGGATTTCTCCATGAACATCCAGCTCTGAGGTGTAGGTTTATGGTACGTTCCTGCATGAAGATGCTGCCATGCCATTCTTCCTTGTCCTGAAGATGTTGAGTGCTGCCTCTTTTGAGAGTTTAGATTATGGATGTTAAAATCTATTTAAGTAACTGTGTAACTGCTGAAAATGTCAGCGGTTAGAGGGTGTGGGGCGGCTCCGCAGGAGCCAGTGTGCACAGGGAGTCAGCTTTTTAAGCTGACTTTCTGCACATACTGGCTCCTGCCTGCCCTCCCCCACCCCCCACCCCCCTTTGTTGCTGCCTCTTCTACAGAGGCAGTAGTGCGGGGTGGCAGGTGGCTGCCTGGGAACCAGTGTGTACTGGGAGCCTGTGTGTAACTGAAGGCTCATTGGTTAATCGTGTACACAGTTACACTGCCACATTCCTAGTTTAGACTCTCAGCACCTAGTACTAGGGCCATTAGAAAATCATTTCTGTGCCAGAGAAAGCAGGTATCAATCAGACTTAGTGTCTTATCTGCCCATCTGCCTCTCTATTTCCGTTTACTTTATCAACTCCTTGTTCTAGCTTACATTTATCATTACAAATGAACCTTTCAGGCAGATATTTTGAAAGGGATTTGGATTCCCCAGTACATTTCCTTGGGTGGCTTTGAAAAAATCTGAGTCTTCAAGATTTGTTGCCCAGTAATAAGGCCCAGCATAGTGTTCGGAGCTCTCCATGGTGCTCTGGTACTGAATCTGCTCCTTCAGTACATCTAGTAATCAGTCATGCATTGCATAAGCTACAGGGAAGGGAAGAGAGTTTTGACTCAAAATGCATTTCAGCAACAGCCCCAACGTTAGAACCTCATGGAGAGTCTGTTACTGAAAAGAAGCAGCTCAGTGCTGACGGGGGCAGGGAGGAATAGGTAAAGACAACTTTGATCATGATGGAGATAGAAAAACAGAATCTCTCTGTAGTAGCTTAAATACTTCCTGCTTGCATCCCTCATGACTAGTCTACTGAATACAAAATCAAATAATGTTGACTGAAAACTATAATTTCTAGGGGATTTTTGTAGCAATCAGTCAACATTTGAGTCTGTATTGTATGAGGAATAAAACACTCCTGGTAGAAGCTCCTGGTTTTGCTAAACAGTAAAACTTAAATAGGAACAATGTTTTGAGCTTGTAACTGAGAGTCAGCATTGAAAATGAATGTACTTTAAATGGCAGTTTAGGAAATTGAGTGGATTTTCTTTGCCTGCCCCAAAAAAGAATTGCTTGCCTGGGGCGAGTGAGTAGAATTTTTCAAGACTCATTTATCATTAATCTTGGGGTATGTATCTCTTAAATTCAAAACATAATGGAGTACAGAATTCTATTGCATTTCAATAAGCATAGCTGATTCCAAACTAAATTAGCCTATGGTACGTTGGTTTTTTTTTTAATTATAAGATAAATCATGGACTTACGTTAGCCCTATCTTTATATAGTAATAAATTATTAGCAGTGGTTTGTAAATTAGCACTCATTTAGCTCCTTGGTATTTTCTTCCTAGATGTACATTGCACAATGTGAGGGTTGACTAGTAAATATTTCCAGATGAAAAATTAGTTTACTTGTTTATTGTTTATAAATATTAAAGTGCAAACCTGTTACCATGCTTATGGACACTAAATAGAACAACATGTCACAAGAAATTGAAAAATTTAGATTTTCCCTTTACAAATATGAACAGTCTTCATTTGATATATATTAATTCAAAAGAAAATTATTTTCCCTCATGTAAGTAATAGCCTTTGAGACTTAATCAGATGAGTTTTGAAGTTTCATTCAATTCAAAATGACTAATGTAAATGTAGTTATAGAATAAGAGCAGTCTGTGCACCATTTCTGGTATGGGCTTTTGGCAGAAGTAGTGCGTGATTTGCAAATGGTGAAAAATCCAGTAGGTACTTTTTGTCTCCAATGCCACTCCACACTGCTGCCTCTGAATCAGTCCTCTTTCAGGCACTGGCCCTGGCTGTGGGGTGTGTGTGTGTGTGTGTGTGTGTTTCATATGTGTGTCTTCATAAGCCAAAGTACCCATTTATGTATTTTATGCCAATGTTTCACCTGTTTTATATAAATGGTTCGTTAATGTATCTGATATTATTAGATATCATTATTGTGTCTGTCATTGTTTCTGCCTGGCACTTGAATTCAATGAGTATTCTCAACTTTATCACTATTAACAGTCTGTTTTCTGTTAAATAGTTTGAATTTTTTGATCACTTATATGCTGTTTGAATTCTAAAGTGTCAATTTGCAAATGTACTTTGTAAATAGCTCACGCAATGCAATTTTTCCAATTATTACCAATAAAGCAGTTATGCCAGATAAAACACTCTTGTATGCTTCTGTATTGTCAAGTGTTAGTTGTCTAAAAAAGTAGCCTAGTGTAGTTTAATACTGTGTGTTTGAATCATATAAGTCATTTGAATTTCTAGGGTCTAAAGGAAATACTTATACATGGGCCACATAATGTCTGCTTCTGATATTTGGGCCATCCATTGTCTTCTCTAATGAGCTGAGAGATAGCTAAAATACTGCAAGTAAAACTTTCAAAAGCATATCAGTGAATTTCATTGAGAGCTAGGCTCCCACATGTCACAGTCCACTTTCAAAATAGGACTTAAAAGCCCTTAAGTGATTTAGGAGCTTGAAAATTGTATCCTGAATTTTAATTAGCATTTATACAACTCTTGGAAGATACGAAGTTTGGTCTGAGAAGAATTACCATTATCATGTTTCTACTACTGAGTATGATCAGTTTATAAAGAGCTTTTAGGGTTTTTTCTAACAGTGGACAGAGAGAGTTATTTTAGTACATAGCCAATAACTCATATCTGTGTTGAAAAATTAAATCTCATTTAAACTCCAGGAATTAAGATCAGCATTTTTAATTTCTCTACTTAATTCAGACTATTAGACATAACCAACTGTTTGCATAGACAAACCCTGATGTAGTTTTATTCTGTCACACAAAGTAAATGCATTGTAGGTTGCATCTTCCAAAACCGGAATTTTCTAGTCTGGCATGACTGTACCTTGATCAAAGAACCCTGGTAGCCTAGTGGCAAGACGGCAGTCCAGGAGAGGCCAGGCTGAAGCAGTGGGGCACTAGCTGGAGCTGGAGCTGGCAGCTCCCGACAGCCTGTGGCACTGGGACCAGGTTGGGGCAGACCATTGCAGTGCAGGATTGGGCCGGCAACAGCCTGTGGCAGCATGGGGCTGAAGCTAGAGCCCTGGGCACCCTGCAGAAGTGGGACCAGAGCCTCAGGCTGCCTGAAATCTAAAGAGCTGGTCCTGGGAGGGAACCTAGAGTCCTCTTCTGTCCAGCAGGCAGGGAAGACTTCTTCTCCCACCGCAGTGAAGAAACAACAGCAGCAGACAAAGATGCCCTGCTCATGGTGAGAACCAATTCCCTGTCTGCTCCCAGAGGGACCCTAATCAGATACCCTTTTGTGCTGCTTATGCTGCTCACCTAACCTTGCTAAATTACTAAAATCCTCTTCTGATCAGACCACTTCTTTCTGTGCTTTGTTTTACTTAAAACAAAAAACTCTGGTCATCCAGGAGAAGTGCCTTCTGTTACCCTTTAAATTTTGTCCGAGAAATAGAAATCTGGAAATTGGTTTGCTAAGTAATCTTGCAAATTTCATTTCCTGTGAAGCTGTTCATTCTTGGGAGCAATTTTTTTTTTGTTCTATTACAGCAGCTACTGAAATTTATAAACTGGAAGTGAACAAGTCAAAGAATGCAAGTCATCGTGACATGCAGGGCTGGTGGTGATTCAGTAACTATGGCAGTAAGATACAGGCAGAGCATTTATTAACAAAAACAAACAGCACAAAATTATATAATTTCTCAAGTAAGAATTATTGCCACCTGCTTGTGCGCTCTATTATGATAATATTGATAAGAGAGTCAAAGGAGCTAACATGACCCTACAAGTATACAAAACAGCTGAACAAAGTTTGAGGCTTCATATACAGAGACCTCAGCCTGCTTAGTCCCAAGGAAAACATTCCATTATAAAAATCCTTCAGAACCTTTGATTAAAGATGCAGACAAAAAAAATCAAGCATTTGAAATGTACAGTATTAAATAAGGCTTTCATTTTATCTACCACTTTTTTCTTTCAATTTACAGTTATTTTGTAATAAGGGAAACTTCCATTTGACAATCTTTTAGAGGGTGTATAAGATGGTAATGTTCTTTTTGAGGACAAGCGAACAAGTTAATTAAAATGGGCTGGAGCTGCTGCTGTTGCCATCAATCCTGCTTCTTTTAAGACTAAACAAGACACATGCATGCATGGGGAGAGGGGAGAGCTAGAAAATGCAGCTTCTGACTGATGCACCACCCGATTTTGTCCACCAGTTACACCTAGGGTATGTCTAGACTGCATCCCTCTGTCAGCAGAAGGATGCAGATTAGGCAGGTCTACATTGCAAATGAGGCAGGGATTTAAATATCCTGCACCTAATTTGCATTAAAATGGCCGTTGTGTTTTGCCGACTCAGCACTTTGTCAGCAAAAAGCAGCAGTCTAGAGGGGGATCTGTCGAGAAAGAAAGCCTTTTTCGACAGATCCTTTATGCCTCCTGCAAGGAGGTTTACAGGATCTGTCGAAAAAGGCTTTCTTTCTCGACAGATCCCCCTCTAGACTGCTGCTTTTTGCTGACAAAGTGCTAAGTCTGCAAAACGTGGCAGACACTTTTATGCAAATTAGGCACGAGATATTTAAATCCCTTCCTCATTTGCAATGTCAATCTGCCTAATCTGCATCCCTCTGCCAACAGAGGGATGCAGTCTAGACATACCCCTAGTTTCTGACACATGCATTTTGGTTCATTAATTTCCAAATCCATTCTTTTCTGTGGATGGCATAAATACACTTTTTTGTTTGGACTTCTCAGTCTTTCTGTCTTTAAATGTTGCTAATTTTTGTAAACAAGTTTAGGTAACTGTCTGAGTTGGAATTCTGTTAAATAGAGTACAGGCCTTGGCACACCTACGGATAGACTTCTACTGAGGACTGTGCTAAAGCACTGCACTTGGACTCTCTTAGTGTTACCACAGGCTGCTGTTAGTCATCCGATACTTTGCGATTTCAATTTCACGGGAGTAGTTACTCATCTGTGCTCTTTCCAGTTTGTCCCTGTTGGGCTCTCATTTGCTAATGGCAGTGTTGAAACCTGTTATTTCCTGAAGTGTTGTGGTAAAGGAAAATGGAAAAGGATAAATCAACCATTCAAAAAAAAAAAAAAAAAGCAGGTTTCTTCACTGTGCTGTATTGAAAGCTTCAGTGATGTAAAACTGATAGAGAAAAAAGGAAGATCAAGTGAGTCCCAATTAGGTGACTTCTGCAGCTTATGCACACACACATATACAGCTACCTCAGTACTTAAAAGGAAACATTGCCTAGGTTCCTAGAGAAGTGAAAAGTTTCACCCAACCTATAGAACTCATATCTAGGTCCCTAAATATATGCAAATATGGCAATGGCATGAGTACGCTGTCATCCTGACAAATCAAGATTGTGGAGGCCCAAAATGAAAACAAGAAAACCCAGTATTTCCTTCCTCTTGTAACACCTCTCTAATTCTCAGGAAGGAAGATTAGATTGCCAGACTATTTCAACAGCTTTTGATATACCACATGACTACCTAGGTTTTAATCTGAATAACAACATGCTAGCCAAATGTGGAATGTCATCTGCTCTCTCTTAAAGTATTGGGAGAGAGATCTGGGGAAAAACACTTAGGAGTATTAAATCTGCTATGATAATAGTTGCTGCAAGAGTTATTGAGTCTTCTTATCACAAGTCTTAAATGAGAGTTTTCCTTCTAAATAAGTCCTAGAGTTGGTAAACCCTATCTATTTTTATACCCTTTCTTTACCTTGAATACAAGAAACTTTGGGATCTGAAAGGAAAAATAATTAAATCTGAGTTCTAGTCCATTGGTGTGAGAGAGATCTGAGGCAGATATTTTTGTAGGATTCAATATGGATTAAATGTGTATAGTTAATAGGATTATCTGAGAACAGAAATCCATAGTGGGTGGTAAAATTATGATCAGGTTCTTGGATTATTCTAATATTAATTACTGTTTGCTGTGGATCTTGACTTTTTCCCTTGCCTGACCATGCTTTTCTAGAGTCCTGTGTCTTTGAGATTTTGTAGGTAATTTCCTTTTTAGAGATTAGTATGGACATTCTTGTATCTTAATCTGGGCAACTGATCTTTAAGATGATCTATCCTCTGTCCCCCCTCCCCCTCCCAAGATTTTAAGAAGTATTGTCTTGGAGTTAGAAACAGCAATTACATTGGGATGAATAAGAAACTGACAATTCTTTTGAGTACCTTCTGCATATTTCCATTTGCAGAAATATTTGGCTATAGAAGTGTTGGCACTATTACTACCTCAATTCCTTCCAGATGCTGCAGTTTAAGGGTATGAATCATCTTACATCCGCTTCTTTCTTTAATTAGTGTGCTAATTTAAAAAGCCCAGAACACGCACATAATAAATAAATAGGATAGTGATAGTAATAGTTTTAGATGAGTAGTACAGTAACTTAGTAATTACATTAGTGTAGTTCATATATTTTTTCTTAATTTGCTTAGAAATAGATACTAGCTATAATGGACATTAGCACAAAGAAACAAGGCTTCAAGAAATATGTTGCATCTGACAGGTTTTTTTCCTTTGATGCTCAGGTATGGAGCTTGCAATGTTCAGGTGAAACATTGCATGTTGCCAAATATGGAGCACACTTACCCTGAGCCAGGAAACATAGATAAAATACCCTGTGAGTCTGTCTGCTATAGGACTTGTTCCTTGCTATGTGTACAAGATCTAAGATTTCAAAGGGGTCTGGCAGAAAAATAAGAGACCAGAGTCAGCTCAGTGTACATCTGCATCCACAAAGTCATCCAGATCCATGATAAGAGCTTTGGTGCCAGGCTCCTGTTCCAAGTCACGTGAGGTTCTGCCAGTGAGATCCTCAGCTCTGACCTCTGTCAAGATACCCATCTCGGATCCAGACAGGAGTTATATAGATCTATGAAATGTGCACAGAACATCTACTTCAAATCCAGGGATGAGGAGTGCTAAGCATTTATCTAGCAGTTCTTATTGCTTGCTTGGAATGAAATTAAAGACTCCAGTTCCAGATCTGTATCCAAGTATATGGGCCTGAGATCAAAGGCTGCAGATCTATCAGCAAAGGTCTACAATGCATAATAGAGCTGACAGCTCTAATTCAAATGTATATGTACCCTTTTATGGATCCAACAGAAATGCAGTATCCCACAGACAAGACACCTGGAAAAGAGAGAAAGTTGCCTAGTT